CCCAGTGATTTGTGATAGTGATGCCTAGTGATTTCTTAAGAACAACTGGATATAGCTCTCATAATTTAACTTCCCTGTTTGAAAGCTAGTCTCTGCAAAACCCCCCAAAAATGTGTGAGGCAACTTTTTTTCTTTTTTTTTTTTTTTGGGCTTTCGCATGACTTACCTTTGGAAAGAAAAATGAACAAATGACACGTCGTAATCGCAATCCATACGCTTCAACATAGAGTAGGATAAAGACAATTCCCCAGCCAATGAATATGGTATATATGGTGTCATTTGGAACATGGTTGGGATATGGCAAACACTCTGTGTAAATGAAAAATAGAAAAGAAAATTAATGGTTCATTCAGGAATTCATGTGATTTGTAGCACATGGGGTTTATTTAAATATGATTCTATGTTCAAAATAAATCGTATGTCAATAATACAAATATGGTGTGTGATATTTACCTGTATTTGTTGACATGCACTTTTAATAATACAAATATGGTGTGTGATATTTACCTGTATTTGTTGACATGCACTTTTAATAATACAAATATGGTGTGTGATATTTACCTGTATTTGTTGACATGCACTTTTAATAATACAAATATGGTGTGTGATATTTACCTGTATTTGTTGACATGCACTTTTAATAATACAAATATGGTGTGTGATATTTACCTGTATTTGTTGACATGCACTTTTAATAATACAAATATGGTGTGTGATATTTCCCTGTATTTGTTGACATGCACTTCTAATAATACAAATATGGTGTGTGATATTTACCTGTATTTGTTGACATGCACTTCTAATAATACAAATATGGTGTGTGATATTTACCTGTATTTGTTGACATGCACTTCTAATAATACAAATATGGTGTGTGATATTTACCTGTATTTGTTGACATACACTTCTAATAATACAAATATGGTGTGTCATATTCACCTGTATTTGTTGACATGCACTTCTAATAACACAAATATGGTGTTTGATATTTACCTGTATTTGTTGACATACACTTCTAATAACACAAATATGGTGTTTGATATTTACCTGTATTTGTTGACATGCACTTCTAATAATACAAATATGGTGTGTGATATTCACCTGTATTTGTTGACATACACTTCTAATAACACAAATATGGTGTTTGATATTTACCTGTATTTTTTGACATGCACTTCTAATAATACAAATATGGTGTGTGATATTTACCTGTATTTGTTGACATGCACTTCTAATAATACAAATATGGTGTGTGATATTCACCTGTATTTGTTGACATGCACTTCTAATAATACAAATATGGTGTGTGATATTTACCTGTATTTGTTGACATGCTGTCGAGTTCGTGTCTGCTATTGAAGCCTGATAACATTGTACGAAACAAGTGTGCTATAGCGCCCTCACCATGGACTTTAACACGAATAGCATGAACTCCTAAAATGGAAAAACCAATATTAACCACATGTATTGACAAATCAAGTATATCAACTGCCTATTGTATTGGAGCCAATAGACAAAATTTAAGTCAATTTTCAGTTTTTATTCAAAAAATGTGGGTATAACATATTTCCCTATTCTATCATATGTGCTGCAATTGATGCAAAATTGTAACTGAGGGGCATGATGACTAGAAGAGAAACCTGTTTTTAGCATCACTATTACCAGTATATATTTATATTGAGTGTATTGCACTTTTCAAAAGTCAACTTTTCTCACAATACACCTAGAATGTGTTATCTAGATGTTCTACAGAATGAAGTGAATAGTCATATTTTTGTCTTTTTCATTGCAATTTTCCACTACTGAACATGTTACTGCTTGTATATGCAGTGCATTGTGGGAAACAACTTAGAACTGTTATGTTTGAACAATATTATGATTTGTATCATCCCATGTCATCATTCAAAATGTTGATGTTACCGGTAAATCACAATTTAACCATAGAAACCAGTGCAAAATTGCAAACTTTGACTATTTTTTATAACTTTTCACTTTTTTTTTATTTTAATGGCATTAAACTACACAAATGAAAGCATGGAAAAGATTACAATGTTTGATTCAATCCTAAACTCAATGACACAGCATCCAAATACTACCTGATTATCTACCTTTTAACTGGATAGTCACTTCACTGTGTCTCTGTACAATATCCAAAATATGGAATAACAAGTAATCAAATGTGCAGATAATAAGAGAAACCAAGACATTTAGAAGCAATCGCACTACTCCTTTACCCTGTAATAGAAATAAATATAAAACATTTCAGAACATGTTTTTCAATGTGTCGGCCATTTTTACTGAGAGCTTGATTGATACAGACTTGTGTCAGTGTAACATGATGTCCAATATAATTGTAAAGTTTGATTGCAATCAGTCAAGGTATGGCCTTTAGTATCGTAAATCGATGTTCATTTAATAGAACTTCGAGTTACGGGCAACATATATTTTTTTGTTTTGTTTAACGCTGTATATTTCCGTAATTTGAAGTTTGATTAACTGATAAATCAAATTTGACTTACTAAATTTGAACGTTAAACAAAACAAAGAAATCTATGTTGTCCATAACTTGAAGTTTCGTTAAATGTTATTTAAAGTTTGAGTTACTAAATATAGACATTTAACACAAAAAAATATATGTTGCCTGTAACTGTCATTAAAAGTTCAAGTTACAATTTTGGGTTGGCAGAAGGGGCCCACCTGAAAAAATTTTTGGAGGGGCATCGCCCCCCCGCCCCCCCCAAATCAAGCTGAAACCCTTTCTGTCAGCAAAATTGACCCTCAAAATGTAGGAAAAAGGGTCTAGATTTCAGATCTCTCCCCTCATGAAAAATATAGTGCAGTTGCCTTGCATTTGTTTCTCAGTGGAGCATCTGCAGCATCAAGGTCACATGATGTGATGTGAACTGCAGCAAACTATACTTACCAACTTCCTCTTTTCATCAGCAAGTAAAGAAATCTTTGTTGGAATAACAATTTCTTTGGTTTCTGCTTTCTTCAAAGGTAATAATATTCTTTTTTTCTAGAAGAACCATGACAAAAATATAGAAATATTTGACCTATGCCAACCTATATGCAAGCCTGGTAGTTCACGCCTATCATGCTATAACAATTAATTGTGTTAAATTTTATATAAAGTGTAAAATTGCAAAGCATTTTATCAGATGCGGATAAACTTGTGGGACAAATCGACTTGGAACGAATCAACCCGTGGGACAAATCGACTTGGAACGAATCAACCCGTGGGACAAATCGACTTGGAACGAATCAACCTGTGGGACGAATCGACTTGGAACGAATCTTAATCTGTGTGACAAATCGACTTGGAACGAATCAACCTGTGTGACGAATCGACTTGGAACGAATCAACCTGTGTGGCGAATCGACTTGGAACGAATCAACCTGTGTGACTAATCTACTTGGAACGAATCAACCTGTGTGACGAATCGACTTGGAATGAATCAACCTGTGTGACGAATCGACTTGGTATGAATCAACCTGTGTGACAAATCGACTTGGAACGAATCAACCTGTGTGACAAATCGACTTGGAACGAATCAACCTGTGTGACGAATCAACCTGTGGTACGAACCGACTTGGAACAAATCAACCTGTGGTACGAATCGACTTGGAACGAATCAACCTGTGGTACGAATCGACTTGGAACGAATCAACCTGTGGTACGAATCGACTTGGAACGAATCAACCTGTGGTATGAATCGACTTGAAACGAATCAACCTGTGTGACGAATCGACTTGGAACGAATCAACCTGTGTGATGAATCGACTTGGAACGAATCAACCTGTGTGACGAATCGACTTGGAACGAATCAATCTGTGTGATGAATCGATTTGGAACGAATCAACCTGTGTGACGAATCGACTTAGAACAAATCAACCTGTGGTATGAATCGACTTGGAACAAATCAACCTGTGGTATGAATCGACTTGGAACGAATCAACCTGTGGGACAAATCGATTTGGAACGAATCAACCTGTGGGACGAATCGACTTGGAACGAATCAACCTGTGGGACAAATCGACTTGAAACGAATCAACCCGTGGGACAAATCGACTTGGAACGAATCAACCTGTGGGATGAATCGTCTTGGAACGAATCAACCTGTGTGACGAATCGACTTGGAATGAATCAACCTGTGGTATGAATCGATTTGGAACGAATCAACCTGTGGGACAAATCGACTTGGAACGAATCAACCCGTGGTATGAATCGACTTCGAACGAATCAACCTGTGGGACAAATTGACTTGGAACGAACAAATCAACCTGTGGGACAAATCGACTTGGAACGAATCAACCTGTGGTATGAATCGACTTGGAACGAATCAACCTGTGGGACAAATCGACTTGGAACGAATCAACCTGTGGTATGAATCGACTTGGAACGAATCAACCTGTGGGACAAATCGACTTGGAACGAATCAACCTGTGGTACGAATCGACTTGGAACGAATCAACCTGTGTGATGAATCGACTTGGAACGAATCAACCTGTGGTGCGAATCGACTTGGAACGAATCAACCTGTGGTATGAATCGACTTGGAACGAATCAACCTGTGGTATGCTATCGATAAAGAGCCATTGCTCGAAACGTCTAGCTATTTTTAATAGTTATTTAGGACTACGATTACCAAATATTATCTTCAATATATCAACCTGTGGTACGAATCGACTTGGAACGAATCAACCCCCGGGTAGTTGCTCAGCGTTCCTTTATTTAATATACAATGTAGCACAATATGTGCTACATTGATGGGCACCCCAACCGCGATAGAATAGAATAGAATAGAATAATGCTTTATTAATACCGTAAAGAAATAGTTAACATTTCTTTTTAGGTTTTCAGATTAATAAAGTAAAAAATAAAAGTACATGAAATGTAAAAATTGATTTTAAAAAAATTCAAAATTAGTGAACGACAAAAATACTACAGACAATTATTAATAATATAACGATATGACTGAGCTACACAGCTATGTAAATATCATATTATTATTATTATTATTATTATTATTATTATTAATATTATTATTATTATTATCATACAGGTATGTAATTGCAATTTACCTGCTGTTTGCGTCTATTCTCTATTTTTCTGAAATACGACGTGATATAAACGTTATCGAACGTTATTTCTGATATGAACTTCTTACTGTAACTGTGAGCGCTAAAGAAAGACAAAAGAAATTGCGTTTTATTATACAGATGGCGGTGTCGTAAAATCGAAAAATGGCAAAGAAAATCCCGCTCTAACCGCACGAAAATGTGTTCAAATTAAGTCTTTTTACTTTAAACCTTGATTACAGTCCTTGAAACAAAAACAAATACATTTTAACAATAGTTACATAGCTAAATTGGTCAATCAATCTTATAGGGAAGAAATCACTTTTATCTCAGAAGCCCGGTTAGCTCAGTCGGTAGAGCGTGGGACTTTTAATCCTAAGGTCAAGGGTTCGACCCCCTTAGCGGGCGGAATATATTTTTACAATTTTATAAATCAATCTTGGGACATGTGGGTGTTTTCTCACGTTATGTTTAATACGTCGTTGTTTTTATCATTTTTTTTTCACTATATGAAAGATAATACATGATGTACTGCTTATCACATACGCAAACAGAATGACTGGACTCTCACACTCTCTTCTGACGACTGTTAGCGCTTTGATGGAATATGGAGATTATGAATACAATAAAAGAAATAATTTGAATTAAAATATCAAAGTGACAGTCACGGTGTCATACACACCCTGTGTACTACCTCGGTGTATTGCATCTTCGTATATCCCCGCTGGGAATACTCAGAATACCCGAACGTATATCGTTCATGATGATCAGATGTTATACAGGGTTTTACTAATAATACCAGTGACTAAGGCCAGACTTTTTTTATTCCTTGTTTCGCGAGTTTTTTTTAGGCAATTTTTTTGAGGAGGGCGGAAAAAATAAAATTAATTCATTTTTTCCATTAGATTTGTGTGATTCTCAAAGAATTGTAAGTAAGATCGGAGAGAAGAAATGAATAACATTTTATTCCATGCATAACCTTGTTTCTCGTCTGCGCTAGACTTCGGTACTTTGATCATGATACTCCCACGAAAATGCAACTTGGATTTGTTATGCGGCGGGCGGTAAAAAAAATGAAGATACAAATAATATTTTTTTAGCATTTTTTTGCGCTTACAGGTCGATGGGCGCGAGAAATTATGCTGAAATAAAATTATATTTTTATTTCATTTTCGGCTCCTGTTCATTCGGCGGTTCGCGAAACAAGGGATAATAAAGATCTGGCCTAAATGTTCGTAAATGTTCGACGTTCGAGTATTCTGAGTATTCCTCAATACAGCCTCAATACAGCCCAATAGTAAATATGTTTTCCTGAAATCTCCGTATTCGCTTTAAGTACATAAGTGATTGCGTGAACACGGAAATGGGAATATCACTATGGCAACTGCGTCCGAACAGATATGGTGACTTTGTCTATTGCATAACTACCTTGTCCGTAGTTACATTACGTACCTTAGAAACATGAGTACGAAGTTGAAAGCGATGATACTTTTAATAATCGTAACGAGCATGGTTATCCACTGTGACCTTGATTTGAATTCGTTCGATACCGCAAGCTGAATGTCAGAGGATGTCTTCAAGTCAATCTCTTCCGTGCCTTGTTGAACCTGAATATTATTTTGTTATTAGTCATCAATCGTGTACACACTTCACAGTAAAAATATTATACAATATATAAAGTATGACAATAATGCGATATTACTACAATATACTATGATATACATAACACAATTAATTTCAAGTGATTACATGGTTACTATTGTTGATACATATCTGTGTACACCAAATGAAATCGTATTAGCATACTAAATAATTAAGACATATTGTAATAATCTGTCATACAGTCCTTTACAGAGAAAAGTATTTACTTGGTTGTTGTCATGGAAACGCCATGATATGACCATATAATGTTACTATATACAGAATAATACCTGCCAACCAATTGCAACTTCGAAATTTGTATCGAACTCATTGACGGCTTCATCGGCACTTTGATACGTCTTGCCCATTCCAGGGTTGACAGCTTCATCGGTATCACACAGTGATGAGTAGGCTGATAAATAAACAAACAAACAAATAAATAAATAAATAAATAAATAAATAAATAAATAAATAAATAAATAAATAAATAAATAAATAAATAAATAAATAAATAAATAAATAAATAAATAAATTGAATTGAATGAATGAATGAATGAATGAATGAATGAATGAATGAATGAATGAATGAACAATCAGACCACGGACAGATGAACAAGCAAAAAAAAAGCAAACAAAGAAAGAAATTGATCTTACCAGTGACAATGTTACATAAAAATGTTAATTTCATTGGGGAGCATAATACGTCCTTGACAACAGGAACTGCAATGGTATTACGGCAATCTCTCTCTGCTCTTCGGAATGTTCCTTTACACTCCTCAACTCCTTGCTCGAATATATCTAGAATAAAACACTGTTAAATGAACCGGTTCTACTTATGTTATATATTATGTATTGCTTCAGGGACGATATGTCACTATCAAATCATGTGAATAATATCAAAGTCCATATTCATACCTAAAATATTTCACATAATTTCAAAGACCCTAATAAATCTAGTATATGAATTGTCTCAGAGTGCAAACAAAACGTCAAAGTGTATATATTACATTGTCCCATGTTAGAACATTATGGTACAGAGAGAGTGAAAGAGATGGCTATACACCCCCATATAACCTTTATACGACCATTCTCAAATATGTCCCTGGGTTACCTTTACATCTATAATCCAACTTGTCTTTATAATTATCTTCCGTCTTCTTCCCCTTTCCTCTCTTACGATCATTTTTATATTTTTTACCATCTTTATCGTCCTCGACTTCTTCCTCAATTGCAATAAATTCTTGTTTCATTTCATGCGATATTTCGTTAATGTTTTCACTTTGGTCCTATTAAATGCAAAGAAAGGTCCATCTCTTTATTCCACATTGTCATTCAAAACTTATTATGATATTATGTTAACCCATTATATCATGGTATTATCGTGTTAACCCATTATATCATGGTATTATCATGTTAACCCATTATATCATGGCATTATCATGTTAACCCATTATATCATGGCATTATCATGTAACCAGAGGTACATTACTTGGGGTTTGCAACTACGGTGACATGATACCAAGATCCCGTTTCAATCTCGCTCTCACATAAGTGTTCCAACTCAGAAAAATTCGAATGCGCATGCCCGAGGTAACTAGGATACTGGGATGTCTAGGTGGATCAAAATAGCTGCTCACGTTATGACGGATTACGATAACTATATTTTCTGTACATTTTCGATGTATTACATTTTTTCACTATGAATGTGGTAATACATGTTTTATTGTTTTATTACAAACCGCCTATGTCATGTCAGAAGGTCGTAGCACCAGCCTCGCTATCTACGAGATGAGACTTGAATGGGATCTTGACATGATGTCACCATACAGTACTATGCGCGTTGCAAACCCCAAGTAATGTACCTCTGATGTAACCCATTATATCATGGCATTACCATGTTAACCCATTATATCATGGCGTTATCATGTTAACCAATTATATCATGTCATTATCATGTTAACCCATTATATCATGGCATTATCATGTTAACCCCATTATATCATGTCATTATCTTGTTAACCCATTATATCATGGTATTATCATGTTAACCCATTATATCATGTCATTATCATGTTAGCCCATAATATCATGGCATTATCATGTTAACCCATTATATCATGTCATTATCATGTTAACCAATTATATCATGGCATTATCATGTTAACCCATTATATCATGGCATTATCATGTTAATCCATTATATCATGTCATTATCTTGTTAACCCATTATATCATGTCATTATCGTATTAGCCCATAATATCATGGCATTATCATGTTAACCCATTATTTCATGTCATTATCATGTTAGCCCATAATATCATGGCATTATCATGTTAACCCATTATATCATGGCATTATCATGTTAACCCATTATATCATGTCATTATCATGTTAACCCATTATATCATGGAATTATCATGTTAATCCATTATATCATGTCATTATCTTGTTAACCCATTATATCATGGCATTATCATGTTAACCCATTATATCATGGCATTACCATGTTAACCCATTATATATCATGTCATTATCATGTTAGCCTATAATATCATGGCATTATTAATAATGATAAAGTAAGAGAACCCGTTTTACCTTTAAGTCATCCATGACCCCAGTGAATGGTTGATGCATGAGTTCAAATAATAACTCACTATTGTTGTGAGCCAAGGCTGCCGTGCAGCTGATAGAACGTGACAGTTCCTCGGCATTATGAAAAATATTTGCTACTGGACCTGTAAGAAAATATGAATAGTCAGTCAGAGTGTGTCTCAGTTGCCATGGTTCTACGTGGAAAATCGCCGCTGAATATCTGTGTATATAGTGTGCTTGACAAATAAAAATTAACCCGAAAACTGACCTGTAATCAATAAGGTCATGGTCATGGTAGTCAGAATGTTGCGACCATATCGACTAAATAAATACGGTGTAACCAAGACAACGGTACAACGAACTTGGACTGAAAATGCAAATCCAATGCTGAGGAGGAGGCCAATGGTACCACCAAGGTACACCTTTTCTTTCTCAGTGAATGGTAGACGAATCAAGATTATATAATATAACGCTGCAAATATATAAAAATATTTCTATTAAATAATAGCAACGAAAATAAAATTTTAACATAATGATTAGCGATCGAGTAATTTACGAAACAGGTGATTATAAAAATTATTGTGTAGTTGCATGATAGTATGATGACAACAGAATGTAGACATGCCATTCAAGCTGTATATTACGTGTAACTAGTGTTAGTTACCTGCACCGACACCTGCACCGAAACAAAATCCCAGGAGAGCCTTGACTACACGATATTCACTTGCTTTGCTCCATAACAATCTCTCACAGAACGGACAGGTGTGACTGAGAACTGAATGCAAACCTGTTGAAAAAAATAAATAAGTATACTCTCAAATATAATAGCGCAGTGTGAGGCAGCGACTAAATTACTTATTTTGCTTAATCAGTCATCTGATGTTATGTATTGGGACTGGAAACAAATATAATCGGGACTACGACTACTTACATGCCGTACACGATTCTAAACAAGCGGCCAGACACTTCATAATCAGTGCTTATATTGCGACAAACCACGATCTTATGAACTAGTTGCCAGATTCAAGTGATCGTATGAGGGGGATAGAAAGCGTCTTTTTTAGTGTTATACTTCTATTTTTCGAAATATAGAACTCCTTCTATGTGACGTCACAATGCTGGAAATTATTCGTGTAGTAAGTATTCCGCTACGAATACCCAGTAGACGCTTTATCTTCGAAATCTTTGATATTACGTGTTATCGCCACTCACAGCCATGGCATGAACATTGCAGTTATCATACAACTAAAATATAATGAATTTGCGAACTTATTATTATTTATGTGTCCGAATCCTCGAGAGTTGTCGTCGCAGTTTTGTGATAACGTGTGATAACATGCTTCACTCATGGACTACAAGTTGAGCTTCAACTTCAAGCATTAGTTCATTTCCAGATCACATTGTTTTTTCAAGAAAGGTTCATGTTGTTGTAGTATTTAATAAAATGTATATCGCGTCAAGTATGTTTATTGTAAAGTTTGGTAAATAGTTTGAATAGCTTCGTAATGTCAGCTTTACCTTACACCCCAAGATCACGTGATGACCTTCCCGGCGATGACAGGTGAGTTTGGGATAGAACGATTAGGATTGCGACTTTTTTATTTATTAGTTCATCCACAGTCCCTCACTGTGGTTCATCCGAAAATCCGAAGAGCCCTAGTTGATGCATTTAATAACATGTAAGACGGTGCAATCGGCACATCATGAAAAAACAAAATGGATTTTGTTCAATCAGACCCAACGCTACGCCCACAAGGTTAACCGACTACTGAACCCTATTTTGACACGTGATCCGGGGTCATCATGCGACACAATGAACTTTGCATGAACTCAATAGCTACGAGTTCATTAACGACGCTTGTTGTGTTGAGTGGATTCCAGAGAACGTCAACACTCACTCCACTTTCAACCTGAACAGATTGAGAAATAGCTTATTAAAAGTAAGTATGGACTATAATAACGCATATTTTTCTTTCCTGAGTTTAAAATATTGTAGCACTTTTTGTTTTTAAACGTGAATTTAAAAGGATTCTGTAACCCGGGAACATGTCGGTGACCGCCATTTGTCCTCGTTCTCGTCCAGGCACATTTTATGCATTTGACCTCGTTACGTGTACGCTGGTATTTCGAGAATACATCACCTTCTCAGCCAAGAAATGTATCAAATACGTGAATAAGAACTTGTACACTTCTCACCCACTTTACAGGGATGTCCGAACATTCAGAAACAGCAATTTTAAACAATCAATAAACATTAAAATATTAATAAATATTAAAAAGTATATATGGCTACGTGGACAAGTTGTGTTTAGTAAAAAAAAAAAGAGTTGGTTTTCTGTATCGTGGTGACGACGTCGTTGCCGCAGGTAATACCGTACCCACGAGTTATATGGCCAAAATAATCTTTCTGAATCTACGCAAATAATTTTTTCCGGTAATATTTCAATGCGTTTTAAAAAGATTGCACGTGATAATAATCAATAAATGCGTTAGTTTGAACTTGTTCTACGTCTTTCGGAGCTCTGTGTATTGTGATATCAACAGAGTTCATGGCCACTGTGGAGGTCATCCAATCTGACCACCCAGAATCACAAAAACACAAAGCTGGATGTCTTGTGCAGTGATTCAGATGCTCTCTGGACATTAGCAATTCACTGCTATTTTTTTCAAAATGTTTTAATTTTAACAAGACTATTAGTTTTACTGTTAACCGGAGCTAGTTGCCATTTCAGAAACATTTAGGAAAGACTTTTACCCTTACTCTAACCCTAAACTTCCAGCCCTTCAATGTAGTTGTATATGCCCCTCTAGATGATTATAGGTGTCCTCAAGAGAAACATATAAAAGGAGGCAAGAAGGGGTAGGGGTCGGGATCGGGATAGATTTAGGACTCAAGGTGGTGTTACGTACACTGGGAATTCATTCCAACAGTTAAGTACTAACCTAATTTTGAGATCAAATTGTTGGGCAGGTTGTAAAACTAGTGCAATAAAATTGAGTTCTCATTCTCAAAGGGTATTTTTTTTAGTATATTTTTTTACACTATTTAAATTATTATTATAATTTGTTTGCACCATAAACTCTGTTTTGTTACTTGGATTTAGTATACACTGATACCATCTATAGAAAGTACATTGTTCACTACATTTCAAAGAGTTCACAGTGACCCCAATTTCAAACTTCCTCTAAACCTGTGTTTGTATTTACACTCTATTTACAAGTTGAACTGTAAGGTTATTGTGATTGAAAAAGTTCCAACTATCCTTACACCCCTAACTTGAACCCTAACCCTTATTCTTCACCCTACATATATGGCCCTCCAGATAACTGTCTCCCAAAGAGAACCATGTGTAAGTAAAATGAGGGAGGGCAAGGTTAAGATCAGAGTTATGGGTGAAGGGCCTTAGGAAACAGTTTTAACTATTTGCGAATTATTTGTCATTATAGGAAACGTACATCTGCAAAAGTAACCATTTTCAGTGTATCTGGAGTGACCCATGGCAAATACATGTACTAACATACTTCGAACAAATTTCCTGCAGCCTGTGACTGATTCACTAGCATCTTTAGTCAAATTGTAGTTGTCTCAAAGTAAAATTTCAATTGATCATTGTACCGATACATGCATAAAATAACACAAACCTGTATATAAGCATGTAACTGTGTTAAAGTTCACATACAGGTCAGTCTTACTGTGTATAGCAGACCCTGTCTGAGTAATAAAGTTAATTAATTATCATATAACTGACCTTTCTGATGGTAATACTATATAGGGTTTAGCTATTAGCCAGGTTTCATAGCTAATTAATATTATAGAAGTGTTTTCTTTGGAAAATTAAAAAACATCTATTTTGCCCACAAGTAAATGTTTGAAATTTATTTATTCTTTCACAAATCAGTGAATATACATGTACTAGTACCTACAACATCTAATCTGCTAAATTTTACATCAAAAATTATTAATTAGGCTTACACACTAGCCAACTATGTCCTCTTAAACTATCTGGCTGCTATTTTCTTGTCTAAAATCATTCGTTGGTACAATATTATTAATTGTTATGTTTCTGAGCTTAAAATATTTTTTCCATTGTCTTCTGAGTAAAAAAACATTCAAAATTAAAATAAAAAAACAACATATTTTGACATTCTAAACATTTAACTATAGTGATGAATAAAGGTAACAGAGGTGTGAATTTGTCATCAACACCAATCACGGACCAATTCAGATACTTTTAACCTGCCAAAATGAAAACAATTATCAGTGTATAAGTGCTGCGTAATTTCCTGTTTGTAAGACGCTTTGTCTTTGCGTCACGTCACTATCAAAATTATTATTACCTAAATGGTCTCTAAAAAGCAATATTCAGGATTGCAAAACGTCTAATCATTTTAAACACTTATCCAACATCTCTTTCTCTCTTCTGAAATTCGCTTCGGTGAACATGGACTGGTCCAGAATCTATTTCTTTAAAAAATGTTAGTATTGTGCCAGTTTTAAGTTGTCTGTGCTTCTCTTTAAAACCCAATTTTTTTTTCATGAACAAGGACAGTTTTTCGAAGAAAAAAAATCTGTGATGGTATAAGGAGACAAAAAAAAAACGCTGACTGAAGAAAGTATATAGTTTAAAAGTATGTGTTATAAAAGTGCAGCTCAAGAGTATGGCTTCTTCTCATATTTTGGCATTTGGTGGCACACTTTACCTTCGGAGAGTCGGAAATCTGGAAAAAGTCAGCCGTTTCAAGATAGGTGGGTGTGTGGCCACAGCACAAATTTACTTGGATACGAGTACCAGTAATCAATAACTATCCATTTCAGTGGAACACAGATCTAAAATAGGGAATGTGTGGGTGGGCATTTCACAGACACTTTAATATAGTTATTCGTCTATACTTTGATGTATAACTTTATTAACCAGACAGGTCCTAGTATGGGGCATGTGTGGGTGTGGTGTAGTATAATACGCATGTCATACACAATAATGAAGTATATCTGTTGATAGCTGTCATAATACTCTGCTGTTATTGTGTGGTTGTGACATTACATGAATTTATAGTGTTGTATAATCATGTACATATCTGTAATACACCTGTGTTTGCCTAGCCAACTAAAGGACACACTCTTGCTTCAGTGCTCTTTATACAAAGCATGTTGAAGTATAGGAATGTCAGAATTATGGTTCAAATGAATTCATATCAGGAGAGGCCAATAAAGTACAAGTACATACTAATGTTTTAGTTAACCCTTTGAATACCAAATTTATTTTCATCCTCAAAATTTGGTAAATTTGTTCATATTTTCTGTAAATTTCACTGAATTCTATCTTAATTTTAGACCAGAAAAAAATGTGGAATTGTTTCTAGTTTTGATCTAAAAAATTAAAATTTTCACAACATTTCATGTGGAAATGAGCAAACCATAAATGGAACTACTGGTATTTTGTGGATGGCACCTGAAAATTAATTTGGCACACTAAAGGTTAAGTTATAATTACTCTGACCACTTATTCTTTTGCTGCTAGAAATTTTTTCGATATGAAGATTTTATGAAGAGAAAATATTACAAAGGTCATTGAAACCTCATGACGTATTACCCTAGACAATTTTCACTGATATTCACTGACTTACAAAATCCTCATGAAATTAAAGCCATTAATAGTAGAGTACTGTCCATTGTGCACAAGTTCTAGTTTAATTAATTCAATTATCAGATTTACAAACTAATAAATTATATTATTGCTATTAATATTGAAATTCTGAATCGCACTCGTGATTACGCATAGTTTAATA